CTTGGGAGAACTTTTATGTATAATGTTCATAAATCAAGGAAGAACATTATGTTTAATGTTATACGTAATATCTTGAAATTTCATTAACATTATATTGGTAAAATTTTGAAAAAGTGTACAAATTGCAAAATATTCATTGGAAATATGTTTAGTAAAATTATTAATTAAAAAATTAGTAGACAGCCGTCTAAAGTATACAATATGAATTAAATATGGTTCGACTGAATACTGAGGTTTATTGATATAATGAATAATTGGCTGTTTAAATAATTTTATGATATCTGCGAAATACAGTTGTATTAAACATCTAGTAACCATGGTACTACAGTGTTAATGAAATCACAAATTATTACATATATATAACATAGGTAATATATTCACAAAATATTCCTGCAAGTATTCGAATACTTCCATGAGAAACTGTGTGTGCATCATTACCGAAGTAATAACATTTCAAATTGTAATATAAAATTTATTATTTTAACCCTCTGAGGAATGTTTTGAAACAATACGTTGTATTATTTTTGTATAATAATTATATAATATGTATATTTTATATAATAAAATAAAAGAAAATATAATAATATTTTATATAATTATTAATACGTCTCGATAATTCCAAATTTTTAAATTTATATTGCTGATATAATATTCCCTATTTTAAATTGTCAAAATAATCGATATGTATAAAATATGTTTATTTGCCAAATAATCTCGAAATTTCATCAGTGTTACACTCAGGTCCATCACAATGGCTTTATCAGTAATATCAGACCATATCAGTATTTTCGTTTGATACTGGTGCTATTATCTATATCCAATGTCGCTATCAGTATTCTGGTCATTACAAATATTTTGTAACAATCGGATATTCAGCTGTTTGAGCATTCAAACATACATGAATGTTTGAATATTTAGTCATATAGTCAATCAGATACTTCAATATTTCGATACTGTTCAGGTATAACTATCTATATAATTGGGTACATGAATCTTTGAATATTTGGGTACATGAATATTTAAGTACATGAACATATGGATATGAATGTAAATAAGTATCAAGTATATATAGATAATTAGGTACTCAAATAATCAAATATTACATACTAGGTCATCTCGTAAATAATACAATTTTGTATCATACATACTACTTAACAATAATTGATCAATAACGTATTTTCTCTCATGTCTACGATTATTTTTTATTAATATTTCTTTTATTTCTTATAATAA